TATATATATATATATATATATATATATATATATATAATTGTGTGGTGCATTAGGGCTTTAAGATGGCAAAGGATATTAGTACATCTCTTATTATTATTTATGAAAGTGTGTTAATATGTGTACTTTTTGGGTTTTAGGATGGCTGAGTTAATATATTATCAAAGACAAATGCAAATGAAAAAACTTTATTTATTTGTGAATTTTAAAATTTAATTTGGAATCAACAAGTTTATAAATCCATGCATTACTGATCTTCTCCTCCCAATTGATGAGAATTATCTATATCCTTTTATGTTTTGAATGCCAAGTTTATGACACTACCCAATAAATAGGGAGATAAAAAATAACAGCAAAAGTACAATGTGGCTCTAATAAATTAATACATTCATAAAAGTTAGATATTAAGATAAGAATTCATCTATTTATATCAAAAAAAATAAAGTATATTAGTTCTTGAATAGTTAGTTACACTAAGTTCAATTTTTTTATCGCACACTGATTACTTATATTAACTAGTAAACGAAGAAAAATGACATTGCTTAAATACCTATATGCATTAATATGTTGGGTGAATTATTTGAGCACTACTATAAATTAATAATCCTCACATATAGCAAACTAAAAAGGAAGAAATCATTTAAGTGGTCTAAGGAACTGTTCAGGTATATCATTAGAGTGGAGGAAATGTTCATGGGATTATGATCTAATGCAACATTTACATATGCTTCATATAACTAAGTCAAAGTATAGTAGAGATGTCGGTCACCAAATTGGAAAGGTGTATTTAATTTAATATAATATATTTTATAATTTTGGAAATTAATATTTTTAATTTCAAAAAAATATGAGACCAGACTGGTCTCATAGAGACAATAGTTTAAATAAACGAGCACAACAACGCAAGTAATATATCTATCCCGAGGAATAGACATATCACTTACCAATGAGGCTCGATTAAATAAACTAAAAAATTTATGACACCTGTTTTAGTCTGCAAAACCTTTAAGTTGACCGAAAAATTTCCCCTTTCTAATATGAGATATTAGATAGTGTTGGGTTTAAAACTTTCCTATAAGGGCAAGCTGACAAGCCTAAAAGTTACTTACTTTTTTATATATATTTATTTTAATGATATTACACTTTAAAGGAAGGTACTTTGCATATTTTTGGTTTCAGGTACAAGAAATGGACTTTTGGAGAAAATGAAGCAAAAATGGTGCAATTTGGAGTAAAAATGAGTAAGAAAAAAAATTCTGACTTGGCACATTTCAAAGTCTTTCTATGCTTAATTTACTTTACATTTATTAAATATTTCTGAATAATATTACACTTTAAATAAAGGTTGTTTTTATGTTTATTTGTAGGTATATCTATTAGGAGTGAAATGCATTTGAAAAGGAGCGAAATGGAGCAAAATGGTGGAGCTACTGTAGGGTGGGGCCTGAGGCACCAAAACTAGCGCTAGAGGCTCCATAATCTAAAGAACGGGCGTCAGAAGCATCAAAATCCAGAGAACCGGTGCCATAAGAACCAGAGAAGATATAAGATGGATTAAGATGGTTTGAAGTGGATTTTAAGCAGACCTTGAAGGCTGCAAATGATTCAAACACCCCATAGAGTGATTCAATGCATCTAAATGCCTTAGAAGGCTTTATAATGAAGGGATATGTCTCTTGAATGAATGGATATGTCTTTTGGGATTCAAAAGGTGTGACTTTTGGAGAGAATTTTGAATTCTTTTTGAAAGGAGGAAGCCTCTAATTAAAAAGGAGAGGAGTCTAGGGCATTAGGATGGCGTGAGAATGAGAGGAAAGTTTTGGAGAAGAGAGGATTTTTTTTTAGGGTTGTTAAAGGAGAGAGAATGTGAGATATTTCTTCTTCATTATATTTCTAGGAAAGAAATGAGTGTGATTGTAAAGAGAGAAAGTTAATAAAGGAAATTTCTAGGGATTTGCTTAGGAAGGAGTGTGAGATAAATTTTGTTCTTTTATTTCTTTATTTTGTAAACTTATTTTATATATGAAATCCGTGTTTTGTCATATTGTTCTCATGAATTATGAGTAGTCTTCTTTATTCTTCTCCCTATAATGAGATATGGTTTTGTGAATAATTGATTTTGTTTTTTACGGTATTAAATATCAAAAATTTGTGATGATTCGAACTTCAATCTTCATTTACTTTTCAATTTGATCAATTGAAAGGTTAAAATTTGTTGAGAACATAAGATCAGAAAGGGTTATGCCTTTTACAACAAGGTAAGAGTCACATTCAATTTTATGGGTGAGAATGTAATCCATGGGGTTGAGTGCAAATAAAAAGAAAAAATATACTTTGTTGGATGCAATGTTGGAGATTTTAAGGTGATAGATTAAAATCCCCAATTTGCTCAACTTGATTGGAAACTAATGTGAGATTGTTAGCGCTCAGGCGAGGGAGAAGTGAGAGCTCTAGAGTGAGATCCGATATCCTCCCAACCTAACCACAATATAGGGACCAAACTCTGGATTAATTAATGTTCTTTATGCACTTGATAGAGGGTAAAGAATAGGATTGCTCCCATTTGACACAATACAATTTTATATATAATTTTAAATGATTTTAATTACTCCATTAATCATGTACTCATTGTAAAGGGGAATGATGCTTTCTTAAATTTGAACTCTTCGTCACAAAAATTTTCTTAGTCTTAGTAAATTTAACTTTGAAGTTTAGAAATTAGTTTAGTAAACTTATTTCTTTTAGCTACATTTCTGTTATCATTCATTAAACCCATTTTAACTTGCATTTCTTACTTTAATTTTTATAGTTTTAATATTGTGAATTATGTTATTACCATAAGAATTTCAATCTTGCAAACTAAGACTTGATAGTAGTAGACTATAATTAACCTAAAGGATTTCTTATTGCCCTTCTCTATGGGATCGATACTGGGGTTTTTAAAGAAAGTCCTATATTACTTGAAGTGATACGTGCACTTACGTAGAACCCCTAGTGTGTGAACTATTTTATATATTTTATGTAGCATTTTGATTTTGCACATCAAATACTTAATATAAATTGGGTCAAGATTTTTGCCATATTTTTGGAAGCTAAATCATTGCGTAAGTTTGGGACGGGTCAAGTTTTTGGC